AAAAATATGGGCTTCTTCACACTGGCCGAGTGGCTGAAAGGAATGTCAGACTTACAGTAAGTATATAAAAAATATGGGCTTCTTCACACTGGCCGAGTGGCTGAAAGGAATGTCAGACTTACAGTTAGTATATAAAAAATATGGGCTTCTTCACTCTGGCCAAGTGGCTGAAAGGAATGTCAGACTTACAGTAAGTATATAAAAATATGGGCTTCTTCACTCTGGCCGAGTGGCTGAAAGGAATGTCAGACTTACAGACTGTAAGTGTATAAAAATATGGGCTTCTTCACTCTGGCCGAGTGGCTGAAAGGAATGTCAGACTTTTGTCCATTGTAAAAAGTGTTTGGTTTATATTTAGAAGGCATAGGTTGAGTGGGGGTGGGGACTTTTGCTTCAGTCTTTTGTCTTTGTTCTTAAACAAACCTGCCTTTTAAGGAAATGCATCCAGAAAAGGAATATTGATATAAACTAGTCCATTTTGAACATCTAAAATATGTGGGAACATAGGACAGCTTCTTTATATTTAATGAAAGTAATACATATATGAAAAAAGTGCTCGTAGTTAAAGAAAATTTTTAACAAATAAGCCTTTGTCAGCTGTTATGCCAAAAAAGCACCAGTACATTTTCTTATTGACACCAGTTGAATGCTAGAGCCAATTATTTAATAAGTATGATACTAGCATGAAGTAGTGTTACACCACTTTTTTTCCTCGATTATTGATTTTGGTTATCTGATTTTCTAGGGAGTGCATCAATAAGATAATCAAATCAGATAAATTAATAATGTTTGAACATTACTTTTTCAGATGTGATAATGTGGAGAAGCTCCAACAGAAATTAGACTACCTGAGAGGACTACTGGAGGACCACGTAGTATTCAAAACTATATACAGATATGCATTTGATTTTGCAAGGGTAAATTTTAAAAACTGTTATAAATTTTGGCAAATTTAGTTTCCTGTGCCTTAGTGAATCTGTAGCCAAACTTTTCCAATGCTGATAGATTGATATTATAGTTTTACAATTTGTTTTTAATGAAAATATTAGTTATGGATGTGATTTTATTTTATCTCTGTTCTTAATTTCTATGTCTGGTGAGAGCTTTCACAAAAAAAATACTGCCGATTATTTATGATATTTCTGTTTAACAGATCAAAGGAGAGCAGTCAGTGTATGTTTATGAGAGTATAACCCAGTGTATCATTTCTTTTTAGGATAAAGACCAACGCAGTATTGACATAGAGACAGCTAAGGCCATGCTGGGGCTACTGCTGGGTAAAAAGTGGCCCATGTTTGGCATGTTTAATCAGTTCCTTGAGGTGAGACATTAAAAAAGTATAGATTCTATAATTTACTTTAAACAGTTCTGTCAAGAATCAGGACTGTTTAAATTTCCACTCCCATGATGAAATCCACTTTTCTAATACCAGAAGTGTGAGAAACAGGTTCACGAAATTAAACTGTGGTCTCGTAATTCTTTTTATTGGTCAGTGTTTTTTCTATGATTGACTAATAAGAAATTTAAGAATGTCTCAAGAATATATTTTCTCTAACCAAAATAAATTCCAGAATTCTTCACGACAAAACATTGCCAATATATGTTCAGCAGCATACAAATAAGAGTAGAACATGCCATAGCCTATGAACTGTAGATCTTTATGGTATTTTGTATGCCAGAGACATTTTGAAATGGTTTTATATGAACATTGCCCTATTGTTTCAGCAATCCAAATATAAAGTAATGAACAAAGACCAGTGGTGCAATGTCCTGGAGTTCAGCAGAACAATCAAACCAGACCTGTCCAATTATGATGAAGATGGTGCTTGTATGTTATTCATTTCTTTGTTTTTTTCAATCACACAAAGGAAATTTAAACTGAAATAAGAAAAAGTTTAATTGCAACCCCTTTGATTTAATCTTGCTCCCACCCCTGATTGAAGTTAAAGTGTGATTTTCTTGGGGATTGAGGACTTGAGTAGGATTGGTTAAACACATTTCATTTGTCTCCCTCATGTAAAACAACTTCTGTGTGATCACAAAATTAACTTGAAAATAAAAAATTCTTATTTTGAAAAATGTTTTACTTTTTTTTCAGGGCCAGTTTTATTAGATGAATTTGTGGAATGGACAAGGGAGCAGCAGCAGCAGTCGATGGGATAAATTATGATAAAATCTTCACAAAGACAAAAATTATGGATGCTGTTTATAAACACAATAGCTGCTTTATGATCCCGTAGCAACAGTAACCCTGTTATTTTTGTTTGTTTTTTGTGTTGCTCCAAGGATGGTGATTGGAGAGAATTTTTCTCTCGTGAATACCTCCAAAGGAGCATTATTATTTGTTGATATGTGTATTTTTCACGTGAAGACAGTGGGGAAGAACTCAAATTGACTATTTTCTTTTTTCCTTCTGCTTCAAAACTGCTGGTGTTTGTTTACTTTCTAACTGTTGTCAGGTTTGTGTACTCTTTCTATAAATATCAAAGTATTCATGCTTGAAATCCAAATGGGAGCATAGCCACAGAACCCTCGCCGTGCCTATAACAGGGATTTAGATCTGAAGATTATAGAACATATTCAGCGGGTGAGATAAACAGTAGCTCTTGACAGAACTGTTTTAAGCCTGTGTGGTTAATAAGGAATGGGTTTTTTATACTGCAACATTTGCAGGAATGAGCTGCAATTTCTATGTCATTAAGCAAACAAGCAAATTGTTTTCAGTTTTTTCTTCATATTATACATTACTGATAATGAACTTGGAGGAGATTTTTTGAAGTTCAGGTAGTGGAAACTAGACCAGATTAATGTTTGCATGCATGCTTTAACTCTAAATCTAGTCTTTTATGAATTGGTAATTAGTTTTATGTTAGAATTAAATCAATACTGAAATTTTAGTTCGTGGGGAACTTTTCCCTTTATGATTTCCTCTGGCTGTAGAAGTAACTATTGAATGCAGTTTTACCTGGTGAGAAGTAAGGTATTTCTCTACCCCACCACAATATTGACACAATCATTTTGGGCTTCCATGATTACACAGGTATAATGCTTTTGCACTTTGGGTCGTCTTAGGTAAAAGCTGGTCTTTCAAGTAAAAATTTGAGTGAAATGTTTTTGTTTGAACAAGGTGTTGGTGTAGACAGATGTCATTTGGAATAATCACTTTTTTTTCACGACAACTCGATGAAGTTGCAATTTTCTGAAGGTGCATTCATATATAATTATTCATTTATGTATAAAATGTTTTTCAGAAATTAAAACCACTGTTATTAACAGTCATTCTTTTTTCCTGAAACTGTTATGAATATGGTAAATAAAAGTGTATACTACAAGTTTACAATTTTCTTTGAATAATGAATTAGTTAGCAGTTGCTATTTGGTAGCATGTCAATTTGACTTTAAGACTGGGCATCCTCCACCTCAATCATCTTGAATGGAGTGGAATTTACTCACCTCACACGTCTCCAGTGGCGGATTTAGTGGGGTGTCAGGGGGGTCCTGCCCACCCCACTCCCTCTGAGTTCTGAAAAAAAAATCACAGCAATGGTACCCTCTTGAAATTAGAATTTTGACCAGCTGAATAATAGTACTATACCGTACCAAATGGCACCGTTCAATCTCTGAAATACCAAATTTCTTCGGGGCCCTTCAGCGGGTCGGCTTTGCATCCACGGACCTCCCCTTCAAATAATCCCGTAGCCGCCCCTGTGTCACCCCTTGAATAAAATAGACTTACTCCACCTGCCATCCCCTTGAATGAAATGGATTCTCCCCACGTATCACCCCTAGAGTGGAATGGACTCGCTCCACCTTTTAACCCTAGAGTGGAATGGACTTATACCAAGTGGGTTATTCTTAACACAGAACGAGGTGGTCACCCTCAATACAAAGTATAAAACAAAGAATTTTTAATGTATCATTTATAACAGGACAACTATCAAAAAATAATGATGAAGAAAATGTAAAAAATGCGATTTTCCACGTAAAGAAAGCTTGATTTATGACACCCGTTACAGGTCTGTCCTTTTAACATGCCAGTCATAAATTTGGGCATATCTGATTATTTTCACATGTGGGAAGACTGATTTTGGGGGGTGTTGGAATTTAATACTTTGTCTTTCTTAAATTTAGTGTAATTTGAATGTTAGTTTTCATGCCTTGTACACACAGAAATTCTCTAAATAGTGTCCATCTAAATTAAAGATCGAGGAAAATGAAAAGGTGTAATCTTTTCGATTCGCATCCTGAAATATCATAAGTATCGTATAAGGTGTACACATATAAAACGGTGTGTGGAAAAAGGCGAAATGCAATTTTGAACTTTAGCAGAAATAATACATCTGATAATGGGCAGATCCAGAATGTACTCGTATTCGTACTTCACGAGGTAACAGGCTGCATCTTTCTAACCCATTTCAATACGTAGGCATTTCCTGTTCATTTCAACTTTTACAATTAGCAAAATTTAAAAAGTTATTTTGTGCTTCAGTTTGAGAAAAAAAAATTCAAAAAAATTCAATTCGAGATGATTTTAAGATCTGAAAATTCAGCACATCAATATTACTAGTACTTCTGTCTTTAAGATCTCCCCCCCCTCCCCATAAAAAAAGTGAATTTATTTTTATAAATTTTATGTCACTTAGTCTACAAGTGTTAGATACTGATATTTACATATGTTGAAACTAGAATTGATTTCCAGGGTGTTAATTATTATAGCAAATCACACGGTAGCTGGTCAACTTTATCAACACTCTTACTTGAGTATCTTCCAAAAATGTGGTGAAAAATTGTGATTTTATCTTAAAGTTGAAAGTTACGATATGCAAACACTGAAAATTATCGAAAGAATGCGTGTATGCCTATACGAAACTGTTGTGGTAACGGGACATTTAGATGATAAAGACCACTAAATCAAATTGTGGTTTTCAGAGAAATCTAATCTGTAATCGTTTAACCTTGTACCTATCAAACGGTAGTATTTGAAATCTGTTGTTGTCATCAGGTCGTAGCATTGATTATATCCTTATAACCACGTTTATCTCTCCAAGAAATCAAGATTGAGATAGACGCACCTGGCGTACTTCGTGGACAAGTAAGTAATTTTGAGGCGCAACACTGTTCACTAAGAACACGCCGTTAGGGCTCAGACACAAAATACAGAAGGGAAAAAGGGTGGACCGTTGACAAATATTGATCCATTAGTTTAAATGTATATTATGTTTTCGATCTTTGCTCTTAGAGACAAACGCAAGTTTGTGAATAGGTCCTTTGTTATGCATCTAACCACAAAGTAATTTTAAGTTATTTTAAACATGGTATATAATCACGTTCACCCATACAGCTTTAAAAAGTGGTTATCTACAAGTCTTTTTAAAATCTTTTATCACATTGTTTTTTTTAAATTAATTTTATCATTTTTTCTTGACTTAACCTGGCACGTTATTTTTGAGAACCCTAATTTTAGCCGACACAACTTTTAAGTTAAAAAATTTAAAAAACTAGAGAAAAAGCGTTCCTTTCTTTTCTTCTGATTTATGGTGGAACACTCACCTCTCAAAGGCTTATTTTTTTAAATAATTAAAATGATAAATTTGAGCCAGGGAAAATATCAAATGCTATCAGTTGTCTCTGTTTTTTAACTTCCGACAGTGTAGATAGTCACGGTGTCTGCTATTGTTTGTTTTGATGCAGAAACTTAAAAAAGGACAACTATAAATCTTACGTTTTTGTTTTTAGATATATAAGATAATGGAGTACCTTGCGTAAAAATGTAATGTTAACTTTAACTGCCGTATATAAAGCCTTTCAGGAGGAAAATTCAATCATAAAATCCATTTTCAATGGCTGATAATAACGTATTAAACTAATTCATCATTAAGGAATCCAAGATATCATGGAGGATTACAGGTGGCACTCTGCATTTATATGACTTTAAAAACTGTTGATATAAAAATCACTAATGATCCTCCACGTTTTCCCTTCCAAAATTGAAACCTAACTCGTCTACACTTTGCCTTTAGACGATAAAGCATCCAATTATTGTGGCAAAATACTTAATTAAAACATTTTTAATTAAAATATTTTTCTCTAAGGCTCAAATGATTTATTTTCTTCACACATTAGAAAGCTGAATCCAAACGCGTTTTCAACACTAAAATTTGAATTTCGATCCATGTCAGATTTTATGTCTGTTTAACGACATTTTAAGGCTCTGGTGGATCCCTTCACCCTGTATATCAGAACTATATACGTGGATATAGCACGAGTGGTGTCTCACTAGTTTTGGTAATACTGAAATACAAAGCATATGACAAAGCGAGTTTTAATGCTCTGGGTTATGACCTTGAGTTTCGATGTTTTTCTAAAAAACTAACGGAATTTTATTGCTTCTAACATGGTGTTTTTTAGTTATTTGATAGTGATCAGTCACATTACGTGATTTATTGATACAAAATAAACGCCCTTTTTGGCTCCAAACACGGATTTTCCGTAAATGATTGTAAACAAAATAAATAAATAAATAAAATCCATAGTTACAGGTCCGCATTATGCGTAGAATAGGTATTGACGATTTGTTACCAAGCCTTGTTTACAAACTGAAGCTTAAGGAAATAATCATATAATAACAAAAGCAAGGTCTGTTCTGTTGTAGTGAAAATGACGCACAGAAGTGTTTTCCAAACTTAACATAGTAAAATTAACAAAAACTTCCTTATTTCTATTAAACCTGACGCACGCAGATGGATTACAAAGATGCCGAATTAATAGATGAGTAACACCGATTTTCTATAATAACCTGAAGTAGTTTTGTCCGTAACTATTAACGAACGTCTGCGGTGTCATGGACTTTATATTATGTTGTATTTCTTCCTGGTTTACCCTTTCTTACCTGCCCCACCTACGCCTATAGATGTGTGTCCTGTTGATTTGTTAATATCGCCGTTCAAAGAAAATTTTATTTTTCTTGATGCTCTAGTTAGAATTGTCCATGTTGTATATAAGTATGTTGCAGTCATTTTATTGGACTCTGTCAAAATGTATTTTCTTTGGTCATTGTATCCATGCCCGTGGTCTCGTGTATAGTGGGCGTACGCCCGGTCAGATGTCAATGCAGCGACTCTTGCTTACGCACGCAATGAGGTGGTTTATTTTTACAACCAACCAAACAAACCCAGAAAGAATACCTGCCCTGCGTTTTAAGAAAGTTGACACTAAAATTGCCCAGGTACAGGTAGTAGGTGTTGAATCATGGCTATTTTTGTTCTCCAAATAAAGCTCTGCCGCATATTGATTATTACCTATTTATACCTGCTGAGAAATGGCTGAGCTCATCGAAATGTCCATCGCACAATTGAAAATATTTCTATTCGCAAAATGAATGCTGATCTCAGGGAAATTTTCTGGGCGTTTTCGACTTCTTATATATACTCTTTTACTAAGCTAATTTAACAACAATATGTTTGAATCTGGATTGTGCGCTTAAAATTCGTGAATTTAAGATAACATTAATACTGTTGAGTTCTCCGGGTTCGTGAGGGCGTTTTATTCGTATATTAGTATTAGAAACGGGACCGATTGCCGGATTTTAAACAGTTTTCCTTCACTGAGAATGAAGGGGTTTTCAAAAGCTTCTTGTACTACCTCTCCACACAGAAGCACGCATTCGCACGCATACGCGCAACTCAC